GCCGCCACAGCATGGCTTGATGAGTGGCACGCAGGTCCGCACCTGGGATCCGAAACTACAAACCCTGGGCTGCAAAAGCGGAGCACGCACTTAAACACTATGCCACTGGGCTGGCCCCTAACAGGATATTTTAAACAAGATCATCCCAGTCCATACGAAAGGGATAAATTCCTAGAAAAATACAAAACTGACTCAAGAAGAAACAGAAAACCTACCTAACCGTACCACTACCAAAGAAATGGAAATACAGTCATGGGCCACATAACGACGTTTGGGTCAACAATGGGCCACATATAGGATGGTGGTCCCATAAGGTTAGTCCCACAGAGCCTAGGTGTGCAGTAGGCTGTACCATCTAGATTGTGTAAGTACACTCTGTGATGTTCCCACAATAACGAAATCCCCTAACGTCCCATTTCTCGGAATGTGTCTCGTGGTTGAGCAACACGTGCCTAGAGTGGTCAAAACATCCCAGCAAGAAGGATGCCAGGCCCAGCGCTTTCACAGGCAAGTTCTCTCTGTGACTCAAGGAACAGATAATCCAAATACCATGCAAGTTCTACTCAGAGGAAGATTTTACGAGGCTAGCATAACCTTGAATTCAAAACCAAAGAAGGACTTTACAAGAAAGGAAAAATACCCTCTAATCCCATTCAAGCAACGTAGAAAGTGAAATAACACACTGTGTCCAACTTGGGTTAACCCCAAGGAATGAAAGATTAGTTTAATATTTTAAAATTTGTTGTAACTCATGACATTAACAGATTAAAAGAGAAAAATCACAACTGCCAAGAGGTGCAGAAAAAGCATTCAATAATACTCAGTGTTCATTCATGTTTGTTGGTTTTTAAGGAATTTTTGGAAACTCAGAATCTACAAAAAAGCCTTCAGCAAACATCATGCCTAATGGTGAAATGTTGAAAGCATTCTCTTTTATGATCAGGAATAAAATAATAACTCCTGTTACGGTCCATTCTATTCAAAATTTTACTGACAGTATTAGAATTATTGAGAGTTTAACAAGGTTGTAATTACAAAACGAATACAAAAAAGTCCATTGAATTTCTATAAACCATCAAAAAAATCCTTAGAAATGTAATTTAAAACAGTAAAATATTATGTACCAAGTATACTAAATCTAAGAAAAAATGTAAAAGACCTTTAAGGAGAAAATTATTTAAAAATTTTTTTGAAAGACCTACGAAAGCCTAAGTAAATAGAAAAATAAACCATGGTTTTGGATAAAATACTCAATATTTTTTAAATGTTCATTTTCCCCAATTGGTGTCTAGATTCAATTAAAATCCTGACGGGTTTTCAAGGATTTGGTAAGCTGGGTCTGTGGAGGAGGTGAGGGCTCCAGGAAGAGAAGCTGGGAGTGGGGACCATCTTCCCAGAGGTGAAGACTCACGCAGCTCTCCCGGGACGGAGGCTGTGGTGGGTGGATGGAGAGCCCGGTCCGGCGACATGAGAGGGCCGGGCAGTCCCTACACGGCAGGGCAGAAGGCTGGCCCACGTGATCCACAACACTGGGACCAACCAGTTCTCCACGGGGGAAAACAGGACGGGAATCCCCTCCTCCCGCCCTACACAAAACCCACTTCCAGGGGGATCAAAGGCTTGCAATCAGCAAAACAATAAAACCTTTAGTGAACGACAAGGAGAACATCTTAGGACCTCGAGGTAGATCACTCACACAAGACCCCAAAGAACAAAGGATAGAGCAGAAAACCTGCTACATTCAGACTCATTGAGAGCTTCCGTGATTTCACGGGCAGAGGATTAATGTGCAGAGAGCACGAAAAGAACGCCTGCATGCCAGTAAGAAAAAGATGAACAACCCCTAGAAAATGGACTGAAGATTTGAACAGATGCTTCCCAGAACATAGGAAAGACGATCCATCCCATAAGTAATGAAGAACCACCATGAGAATCTCAAGAGATTTCACCCGCCCCAGCTTCTCAAAAATCTAAAAATTGCACAACACCAAATGTTGGTGAGGATGTGGAGCAACTAGAACTGTCACGCACGCTCTCGAGAGCTCCAGACAGCACCATCATTTTGAAAACAATTCGGCGTTTGCTAGTGAGGCTGAACCCACATACGCTGCAACCACAATTGGCTCCTAGGATGGTCCCCAGGGAAACGCTGTGAGTGTGCAAACGAGAGCAGCAGCAATCTTACTCCAGACAGCCCGGAGCTGGAGAGCCCCACACGCTCATGGGTGGTAGGTAAGTTTGCACACTCACACCAGAAAGCAATACAGCAACCAGACCGAATGGACCACAACTTCCAATGTCAACATGGATGAATCGCAAAAAAATAATGTGAATGAAAGAAGCAGGTTACAGAACAGTATGTCCAGTAAATAAAATATGATTTGAAACCAGGAAAAACAACACAATATATGATTGTAGAGATGCATTGACAGGTGGAAAACTACAAAGAAAAGCAAGAGAGAAACACAAAACCCAAGAGAATGGACACCTTGGTCAGGACCTCCAAGGGGTGTCTGAGCGCACGCCTGATTGTGAGTACCCAGCCCCACCACTTCCGTGTGTCTGCTGCATCTCGCCAGGCAGCATAGGCTCCCCCCTGCCCAGGGAGCCTTTGACGAGTCTGTTCTCCCCAGACAGGTGGTGGGTGGGCCTACCCCGTGCCCTCCACATGGAGTTCACCAGCACCCCTTGTTCACTGTGCATGCACGAAGCCTGGTGTGCCTCTGGCCCATGGGAGGTGCTCAGCAAGCACTGGTTGAATGACTGAGTGAGCACATGAAGAAAAGTGAGTGAAGAGCCTTCACCCATTAAGGTGTTTCAGCCACAAGACACTGGTTTCCCACAGGGAGACTGAGGCAGGGGCGGCCAAGACCTCAGCAGGCCTCAGCAAATGCCCCTCTCTCCTCATAGGGAGGTCTGGACCTTATAGGGGAAGGGGGGCTCTGAGGACCCCTCTCCGGAGGGCATTTCTCCACACCACCTCTTTCCCAGGCAGAGGTATTCCTCCCCCGGGGCCCGGGCCAGGCCTTGTGCTGCACATCTGGAACCCCGCCCCGCCCCACTCCACCAGTTTCCCAGAAGCCCAGGCTGCCCCACCCAAAGCCCCCTCCCGCCCGCCTGGTGGGCTCCTGCCAGGGCCAGCCTCACTCCACACCCCCAGCCCGCCTTCCAGGGCCTTCACCAAGAAGGGGCCTTTCCGCTCGCTCTGGTTGTCTTGGAGAGAACTCCCTCCCAGCCTCCTCCCGGCTGCTCCCTGCCCACCTCCTCTTCTCTCCTCTTGGGCTAATCTGGGCCCTCGGCCACAAGCCCATCTCCCCCAGGACAGCGTCCAGGCCTCCACTCCCTACCCCATCCTCTCAGGCCTGGGGGGCTCTGTCCAAGGACACTCCAGGACACCAGGGAGCCCAACTTGGGCCTAGTGGGCGAGGAGGGGGGCTGCGGGCCAGTGCATGGGAGCAGGCCTGCAGTGCTGCGTCTGCCACCCTTTCATGTGCTGGGCTCCCTCTGGGCCGCCTCTGTCCCTTCCTTTTCAGCCTTCTGTGCATGCCTCTCCCTCCCCTGGGCATTCCGGGGTGGAAAAAACGGCCTGGGGGAGGGCGGAGGGGGGCTGGCGGGAAGCGGGGGCCTGGGGCCCTGTGCTGGCCACACCCAGAGACTCTCTGCTGGGCCCAGCCAGATGGGGCTTTGAGACAGCCGAGCGACCTCCTGGGGCTCCCACCCTTCCTGTCGGGGTCCTGAGCTGGAAGAAAGGCTCCTTTGCTGGGCCTGTGACACCAGACCCTCAGCCTGGGCAGCCGTCCCAGCCCAATTGTCCCTGCTGGTTCCAGCCAGCCAGGGTGTTGCCCAGACTCTGCCCCCATCAAAGGCGGCCCTTTTGGCCCTCCACCTGCCCACCCCCAGTCGTTGGCACTCCCTTGGTCGTCTTGCCACATGGCTCCCTGCTGCTGTATGGCTGGGATTCCAATTTCGCAGAGGACACGAAGTGGGGGTGGCCACTGGCCAGGGAAAGGGGTGATGCGGCCAGGCTGGCAGGCAGGGTGCATGGGGGCGAAACCATAGAGGCCAGACATTTCGAGGAGACAAGCTGGGGTCTGGGGCTGACTGAGCACTGGCCTACCTCAGCCAGGGTCCAGGGGCCTGTGTGATGACTGGCACCCAAGCCTGGCCTGGGAGACCCTCTCCTTTATCTCCAGGATGACGCCTGTGTGCAAAGGACCCCCTCCTGTCCCCTCCTTGAGCCAGAAGGCAGGGCCTGGACCCATGTGAGCTCAAGTTCTCTTGTTTCTGGGCTTGGTGTGACCACGGCCGTCCTGCCCCTCTCTGCCTGCATCCTCACCTGTCACCTTGGTACTGGGGCTGTGTGATGTAGGTCTGGCTTCAAGCTGCTTGGTTGCTCAGCTTGGAGCTCCCAGCACCTCAAGGGCAGGCCCAGCCTGGGTCATCCCGGTGTTCCTGGGGCCTAACCAGTGTAGTGCCCTGCCATGCAGCTCAGGGCTGGGTCAGCACCACAGGCTGGCTGGCCCTTTCTTGCAGGGAGGGCACGGCAGGGACCTTCTCTCAGGACCAGGCCAGGGGAAAGCTGGGGTCTCCAGCAGCGTGACCCTCGGGACACAAGCCTGCCTCGGAGCCACCCTCGCCCAGGTCTGTCCTCCTGCCTCCACGCCCAAAACACACCAGGACTCCCCTGGAGAGGGCTGGGGGTTCTCTAGGTCCTGCTGGAGTGGAACCCCTGAGAGCCCACTGGAAGACCCTAGTCGGCAAGCACTAGGGGTCAGGCGGACAGGTCAGAGGTGATGAGTCTTTGGGGCTGAGCAGACAGGAACGAGAAGGGTGGACAACAGCTTCAGGGCGTGGGGGCTACGACCGGGGCACTGGGAGGGGCGGCGCGGTGACTCAGCCGCCGCGTCTTCACCTGCCCTCGGGGCGCGGGCCCGGGCGGGCGGTGGGCGGTGCGGCCCATCGGTAGGCGTGGCCAGCCGTGGATGGTGCAGGGCAGCGCCCCGCCCCGGGCGCGTACCCCGCTGCCCCGGGACCTCGGCCTCCGGCTCCCCGCCGCCCTTCCGTCAACGCCTCGTCCGCCCGCGCGCCCACCCATGGCCAGGAAGGTGCTCTCGCTGCTGCTGCCCTTGCTGCTGGCCGCCGTGGGCCTCGCAGGCCTCCTGCTGCTGTGCATCCCCACCCGCGACGTCCGGGAGCCGCCCGCCCTCAAGGTGCACGCTCTGGCACCCGGCACCCGGTGCCGTCCGCGCAGCAGCCAGCCCAGGCTGCGCACGCGTGGCAGCCCCGGACCCAACCGCGCCCCGCTCCCGGCCCTGCGGGGAGGAGCCCCGGGCCCCGCGCGCCCCTCTCCCGGCCCTGGGGGGAGGAGCCCCGGGCCCCGCGTTCTCCGCTCCCGGCCCTGCGGGGAGGAGTTCCGGACCCTGCGCGCCCTGCTCCCCGCCCGGGTCCACCGGGCGGCAGCGGCGCTTCCGGGGCGACACGGTGCTGGAGACCGAAGTACCGAAAACACCCTGGTCGCGGAGCCTGTCACGGGCGCGGCCGAGGGGCTGTCTCTCCGCTCCCCGGACGCAGCTCCGGGGCGTCCTAGGCCGCGGCGGGACCAGCACCCTCCAACCCAGTGGGGCCCGCAGGGGCGCATCAGCTCGGGGTTCGGCCCAGATGGAGTTCGACAGGCGCCGGGGCCCAGGGAACCCTCCTCACCACCTCCGTGGACCAGACAGTGCGCGCCCTGCCCTTGAGGGGGGCCCGGCGTGGAGAGCCGGGGCTAGTCCTAAGGAGGTTGAGGTGGTGGACTAGGCCAGATCTCCCACCAGACCTGGCCTCCAGGAGTCGGGCCGGCTCCCTTAACCCTTTATTGGTCTGGGGTGGGGGCGGGGGCGGGGCGTGGTGTGTGTGTGGGTGCTCCAAGCCCCAGGACCCCAGGATGGGCGCAGAGGTGGGTGCTCTGTAACCAAGGGCCACCACCGGGTGGGGTAGGGTGGTGTGGATGGGTTGTGCTGATGCGGAGTTACATGGTGGGTGAGAGCACTGGAGTGGCCCCTCCCACCCTCAGGAGGGCGTGTTCTCCAGAGGCCCTCCCCCTGTTGGAATCCACGCCCTTGGGGGCAGGTGCTGGAAAGAATTTGCAAGCTGGGGGCTGATCTCGCCCCACTTGCAAGGAAGGTCCGGCCAGTGCCCCTCAGCTCTGCAGGACCCAGCTCTCTCCAGCCATGGCTTTGAGGCCCAGGAAGGGGGCGTCTTCAGGCAGCCCCAGCCCTGCCTCCCCTCCTGGTGCCCTTGCTTCCGTATGCTCAGGTTGGGCTGAGGTCAGACCGGGACACAGGAGAAAGGAAGAGTGGCTGGAGGGGTTCCTCCTGCAGCTGGGCTTCTCTCCCTGAGCCTGTGGACCTCATGTTCCCAGGGCAAGGTTCCAAGGGTGGTCCTGGGACCCTCTGACCCTGACACAGCCCCTCAGCTTGCCCTTGCCAGGAGGGGTCCTGCAGTTAGAAGAGGCTCCTTCTCCCCTTCTCCCCTCAACTAAGCTGTGTCACTGGCCATCCCTGGCCTTCTCTGAGCCTCAGAACTTCATGCTGAAGCTTCCAACCTTGACACAGGGTGGGGTGGGGTGGAGAGCTGAGGGAGCCACAGGGCATGGCCATCAGGCCTCTGCCCACATCCCTGAGGCTGACCTCCACTCCCACCCCCAGTATGGCATTGTCCTGGATGCTGGCTCTTCCCACACATCCATGTTCATCTACAAGTGGCCGGCAGACAAGGAGAATGACACAGGCATCGTGGGCCAGCACAGCTCCTGTAATGTGCACGGTGAGGGTCCCCAAGCACTAGGCACCCTCTGGCCTGGACACTCACTCTCCGTAGGGCCTCAGGGGCCCTCTCCAGACATAGCCTCTGTAGGCCAAGCAGTCAGGCCCCTTTGCTTAACGCTAGGTGGGGCACACTCCAGGCAGAAGCTACAGGAGCCCCCAAAAGAGAGGCTGGGCCCCTGGGCCTGGAAGGGGCTGTGGGCAGTTCCATTCTAGAAAGGAAGCCCCAGGTACTGGCTGGGCCTTGCCTGACCCAAGATTGGCTTCTACATCCTAGATGGAGCAGGAGGGGCTCCGAGGAGCTGGTGGGCACACCCAGGCAGGCCCCCTGGGAGGATGGGCTGGGTTGACAATACCTAGTGCTTTGTTGTGGCACCTGTGCGAACACCCACGGGGCAGGTGGCAGCCTCAGAGACTCTGGGTGGCCTGCAGGTCCCTTTGTCTCTGAACTGGGTGTCTCTGAAGCTTAGGCTGGGAAGGTGTGTCTAAGCTGCCACCTGGTTTGGGAGCCCAGGCCCCCGAACCCTGCTGGCCTATGGCCCATCCAGGGGCTGACCACCTGGCAGTCTCTAGGTGGGGGCATCTCCAGCTATGCAGACAACCCTTCCGGGGCCGGGCAGAGTCTTGTCAAATGTCTGGACCAGGCGCTTCGGGACGTGCCCAAGGAGAGACACGTGGGCACGCCCCTCTACCTGGGAGCCACGGCAGGCATGCGCCTGCTCAAGTGAGTGTGCCCACCCCCTGACCTTCCTGGTTCCGGGTCCCCACAACAGCCCCGGCACAGGGTGGGCCCTGCACGCCCTCAGCAGAAGCCCTGGGCTGGGCCCCCTTGGCCGGTCAGGCAGACACCGTGCTCCCCAGCAGCAAGATCACAGTCGCCTGGGAAGATGCACCTCAGAATCCTCCTTGTGTCACAGCCTGACCAGCCCAGAGGCCTCGGCCAATGTGCTCGCGGCTGTGACTCAGACGCTGACCCAGTACCCCTTTGACTTCCGCGGTGCCCGCATCCTCTCAGGCCAGGAGGAGGGGGTGTTTGGCTGGGTGACCGCCAACTACCTGCTGGAGAACTTCATCAAGGTGGGCCTGCTGGCCTGCCCGATGAGCCAGGGGGTGTGAATGCCCACCCACTGGCTGACCCGGATCTCCACTCCCCACAGTATGGCTGGGTGGGCCGGTGGTTCCGGCCAAGGAAGGGGATGCTGGGGGCCATGGACCTGGGGGGCGCCTCCACACAGATCACCTTCGAGACAGCCAGCCCAGCTGAGGATCCAGCCAACGAGGTCCAGCTGCGGCTCTATGGCCAGCATTACCGCGTCTACACCCACAGCTTCCTCTGCTATGGCACTGACCAGGTCCTCAAGAGGCTGCTGGCTGGAGCCCTCCAGGTGCCCCACCACCCCCAGCCCACCCACACCACTGTGCCCTCCTGGAGGGAGGGGGCAAGAAGGGATGGGGCCAAGGGCCCAGAGCAGAGCTGGGCAGCAGCCACAGTGAGGGCTTCTCCAGGCAGCAGGAACCGAAGTTGGGCTTGAATCGGCTGGAAGGACAGGTGGGGCGGGATCCAGCATGGGCAAAGGCCCAGTGGCTGGGGCGGGCCTGGTGAGTACCTGGCTGGGGAGAAAAGAGGGCCAGGGCCAGATCTCAGGGGTTTGGGTTTTATCCAGCAGGCAATGGGGAGCCATTGATTGTTCCTGGGAACAGAAGTGATGTTGCCAGAGTGCGGGAGTTGTGGGAGACTCAGCAGGCTGGTCCCAGGGGGAGGCCCTGCAAGGGTCCGGGGTGAGGGTGGTGGGCAGTGCTTGGAGTGGGAGTGGTGTCACCTGCACCCTCGTCATCCCCCAGACCCACAGCTCCCACCCCTGCTGGCCGAAGGGCTACTTCACCCAAGTGCAGCTCCAGGATGTGTATGGGTCGCCGTGCACGGCTGCCCAGCGGCCCCCGACCTTCAACAGCAGTGCCAAGGTCAGCGTGTCAGGGAGCAGTGACCCGGCCCTCTGCCGCAGCCTCGTCTTGCGGCTCTTCAACTTCTCCTCCTGCGGCTTCTCCCGGTGCTCCTTCAATGGCATCTTCCAGCCCCCTGTGGCTGGGAACTTTATCGTGAGTCCAAGGGCCAGGGGTTGGGGGCTGGTGCCTGGGGACCAGCCCTGAAGCACACAGGGTCTGGTCGCGGTGTGACTGTACCCCCTCGCAGGCCTTCTCTGCTTTCTTCTACACCATGGACTTCCTGACGACTGTGATGGGGCTGCCTGTGGCAACCCTGCGGCAGCTGGAAGCAGCCGTGGTCACCATCTGCAACCAGACGTGGAGTGAGGTGAGGCCTGTTCCCTCCCTCTGGGCCAGGCAGGGGGCTCGGCCAGCCCTCATCATGCCTCCTGTCACTCATCTGCTCTACAAGTAGAGGGGAACCCAGGCCTTTCAGAGCACCCACTGCAGTGGGGGACACGCCGCTAATCAGACTCGAAAAGTGGCCGGACTACGGCAGGGAGCCCAGGAGCCAGACGAGACGGGGTTCCGGAAGACTCCCTGAGGCCTGACCCTAGAACCAAGCTCTGGAGGGCAGAGGAAACAGCCAGTGCAAAGGCCCTAAGGCAGCGGGGAGATGGATGGGACAGGGGCAGGGAGGAGCGTGGAGGGACGCCCCACCAGTGGAAGGCTCAGGAGGGACTTGGTAGGGCTTGGGGTGAGGGAGTGAGGAGTGGAGACAGCTTCCAGGTTTCTGGCTTCTGCCACTGGCTGGATGCTGGCGCCAGGTAAATGAAGAGGGGGGATTGGGGCACATGGAGCATGAGGTGCCCACCAGAGACCCCAGGAGCAACAGTGTCTCCAGGCTCAGGTGGTGGCAGAGGCCCCATCGTGTCCTCTCTGTGTCTAGTCTCAGGCAGACTGGGGTGGGGCAGGGGGAGTGGAGGGCAGGAGGCAAGCCCAGGGGCCCCGGCTGAAGCCTGGGGCTTCTCCTGTTCCCCTGCTCACACGCCAAGGTTGCTGCAGCCCTCTGCTCCCTGGGTGGCCATCCCTGCTGTCCCGTCGAGGCCAGCCATCCGGGCCCAGGTGCTGGCTGCCATCCAGAACTCACACCGTTCCTGCCGGAGGGAAGAGCCCTGCCTGAGGGTGCCCTCATCCTTCGCCTGGCCTCGGTCTTTCCGGGGCCAGTGACGTGGTCTGGGGCCCGCGTTGCGCGCGCGCGCGCGCGTGTGTGTGTGTGTGTGTGTGTAGAGGTCCAGCATGCAGCCGGCCACCCCTGCCCGTGGGGCCGAGACCTCCCAGTCGTCCCGGCCCGACAGTCTCCCACCTGCGTCCCAGCTGCAGGCTCGGGCGCCGGGGGAGGGGGCCCACTTGCCCAACTACTGCGCCGCGGCCACATTCGTGCAGCAGCTGCTAAGCCGGGGCTACGGCTTCGACGAGCGCGGCTTCAGCTCAGTGACCTTCCAGAAGAAGGTGGGAGCGGGCGGGCCGGGGCGCCGGGGGCGGGGCCTCCCGGGCCGAGCGGAGGCTGAGGCCATGCCCCTCGCCCGCAGGCCGGGGACGCCGCGGTCGGCTGGGCGCTCGGCTACATGCTGAACCTGACCAACCTGATCCCCGCCGACCCGCCGGGGTTGCGCAAGGGCACGAACTTCAGCTCCTGGGTCGTCCTCCTCCTGCTCTTCGCCGCCATGCTCGTGGCCGCGCTCGTCCTGCTGCTGCGCCAGGCGCGCTCCGCCAAGTCGGCGAGCGCCATCTAGGGGCGGGCTGGGAGCCCCATATCCCCCCATCCTTCAGCCCCACCCCACCCTCGACTTCTCCGCTCCTAATGCAGCCCCGGGCCGAGACCGGGACTCCGGCGCCCACGGCCACACGGGGCCGGAATGGGTGAAGGGAACCGAATCCTGCCCCTCCTGCCCGCTCCAGCTTTGGTTTCGCCTCAAGGCCTCGTGCTCCTCCTCCTCTTACTGGGGGTGGGGGATTCAGACACCCCACAGCCCTCGGCCTGGGACTGCAGGGCTGGGTCTCCAGGGAGTGCAGCCTTTATTCTGATAATCAGGGCTCTCAGAGTCCCCTCCTACCCCCACCCTCCGGAGTCCCAGTCTGTATTGGGGCGGGGAGTCAGAGCCGACAGGCTGGGAGCCAGCCCAGCACCTACTTGTAAACATTTGTAATAAAGAGTTTTTCCTACAGCAGTGGAGAGAATGTTCACGGGATGGGGCCTCTTTGCTGTTGCCTGCCTGCCCTCCCCACAGTTGTGCTGGCCACGCAGGCCCACTCCAGGTCCCAAGGGTGGACCCGGGCTCTTCCTACTTCCTTCCTCTCTGGTCCCAGACCTGGGGTGGTTCTGCCCCCCTCGCCTGCTCTGCCGTGGTGGCCTGGAACTGCAAGATCCCTGACCTAAGAGTCCTTGAACCCCTGTAGTCTTCTCTGGCTGGCAGAGCCCCGGCAGCACCCCAAGATCTGCATCAGTGACGGAGGCCAGACTGGAGGCTGGGCCCTGGCCTAGAGCTGGCCTGGGGATGGGGGCACAGAGGTGGCAGAGGGGGGAGGCAGTGCGCAAGGCAGCTGCCTAGGGTGCAGTCTGTGCTCAAAGAGACTGGGGGAGGGGGCAAGCCCTCAACAGGCCCTCAACAGGAGGTGGTGTGGGGGGGATGCCGAGATCAGGGCCAGGAGGGAGCAAGGCCCATTGCTCAGAGATGAACCTTGCAGAGCCTGGCTCTAGAGCCAAGCCATGCCATCGCGCGGGGACGCCACTCCCCTCCTACTTCGGTGCTGTTTTCTGCATCCCCAAGAGACATCAGTCTCCCCCCACCACCACCTGCGGCTCCTGCAGCCCCTCCCCTAAGCACTGTTTCCTCCAGGGCGTGAGGAGTGGTATTGGTTGCATCTTCCCCACCCCCCACCTTTCTGGAAAGTGAGCTCAGACGCTATTACTGTCTGGCCAGTGCCCCACGGGGGAGGATGGCAGTCCTTGTTCTCCTCACCCCCTGCCCCCTTCTGCGGGTTTCTGAGCCATTTCACAAACCTGAGGACACCCAGCCCTATCTTCCGAGTTCTGAGACACAGAGAGCTGAGAGGAAGCACCGGATTGGGAGCCTCATCCATGTTCTCGCGATGACGTGAGCCAGAGGGAGGTTTCCAGGTGGGATGGGGTTGGTGTGCTCTCAGGAGGCAACAGGTCGGGCGTAAGGGGGTGCATGGTAGGTGCTTGTTGTTTTGGCGCCCCAGGGAGCTAAAAGGGGGACACCTGGGGACCGTGGACAGCTCCCAGCTGGCTCTCCTCAGCAGCTCCAGGTCCCTCTTGCCCCCTGGTGGCCTCCCTGAGAGCGGCCGCCCCATTCCAGCCACAGAGGCCACCAGCACCGGCCGAGTTCTGTGCGTGTGTTTTTATCCCAGTGCCTCGGAGTGCCCAGTGGGTCTTTGGGCACACCTGTGTCTCCCTGCGCACCTGCCCATCTGTGTGTGCCTGGTCTCCCTGTGTTCCTGGGTGCTCGCGGAGGGGCCCAGGCAGGTCCCCTGCTCCAGTGCGGTGGGGGGTGGGGTGGGAGTTGGCAGCCCGACGGGGAGCGGGCCCTGGGGAAGCGCATCCCGGGGAAGCCCACCCCCGGCCAGTCCCTACCCAAATTTATGGAAACAGAGAAAGTCCCCAGCTGCACAGGCCGCAGAGGTTCAGGCACCCTGAGGCCTGGAGAGGGGGTGATCAGCACTAGAGGGAGGGGGAGGGGGCGTAGCCTGGGGACGCCGGCCCGCCCCCGCAGGAGGAGCGCGCAGGCGCACTCCCCGTGTGCGCGCCTCTCGCCGCCGCGCTTCCATCCCGGATCCTTTGCCGCAGCGTCAGCGTAGCTCCCGCCGCCTCTTTCCCTCCTCCTCCTCCTCGGCCTACGCCTCCTCTTCCTCCTCCGCCTTTTCCGCCCGCTCCTCCTCCTCCGCCTCCCCAACACTACGCCCGCAGCCCGCGCCGAGCCCCGGGCCGCGCGGTGCCATGCTGCCCCGGCGGCGGCGCTGAAGGATGGCGACGCCCGTCCCTCCGCCCTCCCCGCGGCACCTGCGGCTGCTGCGGCTGCTGCTCTCCGGCCTCGTCCTCGGCGCAGCCCTGCGCGGTGCCGCCGCCGGCCGCCCGGGTGAGCGAGGGTGCTCGGCGCAGGCCGCGGGGCGCCCCGGGGCCGGGGATCGCCGGGCGGGGGTCGGGCTGCGCGGCGCCGCCGTCACCCTCCCCGCTGGCCCCGCCTCGCTGGAGATGGGATAAACAGGCCCGGCCCGGAGGGCGTGGGAAGGGCTCCGCTGGAAGGGTCTTCTCCCAGGTTCTTGGGGGCGAACCTGAAGTTCATGCGCTTCTTGCCTTTGTCTCTGGCTCCGTGAGCTTGTCTGTGTCTGTGTCTCTGGAGCGCTCTGCGTGGGCCCGCCGCCGGGAGTCTGTGCGCCTGTGTGCGCGCGGGTGCGGGCCTGGCCCTAGGCGCCTGCCGGCCTTGCTGCCCGAGTCTGTCCCTCTGTCCCAGAGTGGGAGTCACAGTGCTGGTCTGCCTGTCCCCATGCCTCCGGTGGTGTTGGGCACGCGCCTCGCTTTGCTGCCATGGCGGGGTCTGCAAGTTCCGGGGGCATTTGACGGCTTGTCTCGGGCTTAGGGGCTTGTTCTGGCTTCAGTGGGGGCAGGACCAGTCTCAGAGCTCCCTCCCTCACCGTCTGCCCTGGAGGATGCTGCCATTCTGTCTTTTGTGCTAGGGGCCGAGGGGCATCCCCAGGATAGACTCCGGCAGAGTGCAATGAGCCCAGGGTCCTGGGAGACCCTTCCTGCCTCCTACCTGGGTACTGAGGCTCCAGGCAGCGAAGGTCTACAGCAACCCAGGATCCAAAACGCACCCCCCCCCCCAGGGGAGACTTGGTGCCCATACCTCACTCACTTCTCCTGGCAGCCCCATAGGAGAGGTGCTATTCTTAGCCCATTTTACAGACGAGGAAACTGAGGCACAGAGAGGTTAAGTGAGTGGTACGTAGTGCTGCTGGGATGCCAACCTGGGCTATGTGGTTCCGTGTGTGTGGCCTGGAGAGGCCAGAGCAGGGCAGGCTTCCGCCTGGGCAAGCATCCCTGGGCAGGAGGCTGGCATGACCAGGGGAGTCTCCTGAAGAGGCCTGAGGGCCTAAGCATGGCTGGTCAGGGATGGTGGAGACTGCCTACTGAGAGCCTTGCTCCAGGGCATGCAGGGTGGGGCCTCCTGACGAAATGGGCTGGAGGGCTGTGCTGAGCCCCTGGCGTGGGCAGGTGCCATCCCAGCTGCTCATCGGCTTTATGCTCATCCAGATGCAGGGTGGGGTGCCAGTCACTCTCCAGCTGCCATTGTTCCTGGGCCCTCTTCCTGCACCCTGAGGCTGGAGTGCGCGCTTTCCTCGAACTAAACAGGCAGCAGCACTTCCCCCTGGGCAGGGGGGCTGGGGGTGCAGAGAGGCCCCTGGAACCCAGACCCCCCCCTTGGCCTGGGGCACTCTGGGTTCTCAGCACCAGGGGTGGGGACTGCCTGGCTCCCCAGGCGCCCAGCTGATGGGTGGGGTCCAGACTGACCTGCTGGCACAGGCTTAATGTTTAACTAGCCCCAGCCCCAGGCCCAGCTCACTGATACCAGTGTCTGCTGACCCAGATTGTGCAGGATGGGCGTCCCCGGGATGGGGCCACTGGAGCTTGCTCACAGGGGTGCTTATAGCCAGGAGACTGTGAGGGTCAGGTTACTAAGGAAACCAAGCCAGGCCAGCCAAGGTCCAGAGAAGGACAGAGCCATGCATTCCCTGACCCCCCATGTCACCCTGGGCCCCAGTGGCCCTCCTGCAGTGTTGGGTGGGGGCTGGGCTGAGAGGAAGGGTCCCAGTTCTGCAGAGACACCCTCCTCCCAGCCTCCCTAAGCAGTACGGGTGGTCCTGCTGGGTATCCTCCTGGCTCCGCTGGCTCTGCTGCCCCGTAACTGGGGCCAGCATCCCAGGCCTCAGGACATTCCCTAGCTTTGAAGCAACTCACCTTCTGCATCCCAGAGGGGAAACTGAGGCAGAGAGGGCCACTGTCCTCCATTCCCCAGCATCAGGATGGGACACCACATTCTGGGCCCCAAATCAGGAACCGGGCCACCCTGGCACTCCCTGGTCCCTGGCACTGTGGCTGTGGGAGTGACCCCAGCCTGCGTTCTGTATCTGAGGCAAATGAGACCGGCGGACTCCATCCCAGGTCTCCCCAAGCTCAGCAGCACCTCTGTGCCCAGGGGACAAGTGGAAGTCAGACATGGGGAGTGGCTATCTTCCTGGCCGGCACATGTTCTGTCATCTTCAGCTCAGCTCTCTAGGGCTGTAGGATGGCATGATGGGGTTGGGGGCACAGCCCTGATATAGTGGGAGGGGTGGGTGGCCAGCATCCTTTGCTGCCCCTGAGCCAGAGAGCAAGACCTGGGCCCCACCCTCTGGGGCTCCCAGTGTGGACAGAGGCTTGCTCTGGGGCATGCTGAGACCAAAGGGCAGACTTGGAGGGCTGCAGGCTCTGCCCAGGAGAGCTTGGTGCTATCTGGACAGTGAGGGATAGTTTCAGCTCAGAGGGCTGGCTCAGGCCTGGAAAGTAGACTCTGGGGAGTGGGTGGGGCAGAGGAGTTCCGATAAATCTTGGGACTGTTTGTCTTCCTGGTTTTGACCCTTGGCAGTAGGGAGGAAGGGCCTGCCCAGAACAATGGCCTGAGCCAGGCCTAGCCAGCTCTGTGGGGGAGGGATCGAGGTGGCCGGCAGTACTGCCGCTGTGCAGGGGCTGAGTCAGGCAGGGACCTGACCCTGCACTGCCTCTGCTTCCTTCCCAGATGTGGCCGCCTGTCCTGGGAGCCTGGACTGCGCCCTGAAGAGGCGGGCACGGTGCCCCCCGGGTGCACATGTCTGTGGGCCCTGCCTTCAGCCCTTCCAGGAGGACCAGCAAGGGCTCTGCGTGCCCAGGATACGCCAACCTCCGGGTACGGGAGAGCAGGATGTCCTTCCTCCATCCCCTGCCTGATAATTTATCCCAGAGCCTCAGCTCCCAGGTCCCCTGAGCTTTGTGGGGTGCCAGGGACTCTCCTGTCACCCTCCGAGTGGCCCGGTGATCCTTTCCAGATGGCACGGGCCCAGAGCCTGGCAGCGGCTGAGGCCTGGGGCACTTAGCCCCTCCCAGGGCAAGGGGTATCCAGTGTGGAATGCTGGGGTGATCTTGGGAGAGGCGGGTCCTGGGTCCTCGCAGGGTCTGCCTTAAACCCCTCGGGCACCCACTTCCCCACCCCTGGGGCCACTCCTGCTCTTTGCCCAGCACACCCTCTCTTTCCATCGCTCCCTCATCCTGTCCACTCCATGTGCACTGGGGGTGCCCCACCCACTGACCTAGGCCCAGAGTCTGTGGGGACAGCCAGCCAGATGCTGAGTGACTTCAGATGTGATGGGGCATTACAGAGGGGTGCTGAAGAGTCTGGTGGGGCGGGAGAGGCTTCCTGGAGGAGCATGTTCCTGGCAGTGAGTGAGGGGGGGGGACTGAAGAGTGGGCCTGCTGTAGAGGGCAGTGGGCTCTGCCCTTTTGATGTTGTGCGGGGCTGTCTACTTGGAGCCTCTGTCTGGCCTGTGGAGCCCATGGCAGGGACAAAGGGGGCCCAGCCCATAGCCCCCCACCCAGACAGCTGCTCTTCCTTCCTCCTGATGGCCTGAGGGAGGTGGGGGGACAGCAGAGAAGGTGCTGGGCAGGGTGATGCTCTGCCCACCCCTTTGTGGGTAATGGGTGGGATAAGGGGCACCGCTGCCCTCCTGCCTGGCCTCTGCACATTCCCTTAGCACCTCTGCCTCCTTGCCCCCATCCCTACTCTTCCTGGGAAGGCTGGGTTCACAGGGAGCTCCCTCAGTTGTCACCATGGCAACCCTGGGGTGGCCAGGGGCCACAGGCTGGTACCTGGTCCTCAGGCCACCAGTGTGTGGAAGAAGCCTGGAGGGAGAAGGAGGCCTGGGGACTGGCTCCAGGGTGGGCCCCTCCCTCTCGGGAGGCCACCTGCAGCTGGTGTTGCCAGGGAGGGGCTGGTGGCCTCTCCAACTGAGGGCCCCTCACTCTTCTCAGCGGGGGGCCCACCCCAGCCCAGACTGGAAGATGAGATCGACTTCCTGGCCGGGGAGCTAGCCCGGCAAGAGGTGGGGCCCTCGAGGCTCACGGCCCCGCCCCAGCCTGGGGCGCGACAGCGGCTCCTGGAGCCTGGTGAGATCCCCCGGCCCATTCCCCCGCCCCCTCCCCACAGCCCTGGACCCCAGCCTGGTCCTGCTGCTCTGATAACCTGCCTTCTCTCTGCTGCAGCCGCCTTGGGGCTCTCAGAGCGCGGCCAGGGCTCCGACCTGGACCTCCCTTCCACTCTGGGAGTCCCCGGGCCCACGCCCCACACCTCTTTGGGCTCCCCCGTGTCGTCTGGGCCAGTGCACATGTCCCCCCTGGAGCCCCGGGGCGGGCGCGGTGACGGCCTCGCCCTCGGTAGGTTTCGGCGGGTGGGCAGGGAGGCAGGGCCCCGAAGGAAGGCTGCCCTCACCGCGCCCCTCCTCGCAGTGCTGGTCGTGGTGTGCTCCGTGGCTGGCGCGGCCGCCCTCGCCGTGGCCGCTCTCTGCTGGTGCAGGTGAGCGCGGGGCTGGGCGTGCGTGCGGGCGGGCAGCGGCGACCCCGCGGGTCTCACGCTCCACTTCCCGCAGGCTGCAGCGGGACGCCCGCCTGACCCAGAAGGCCGACTACGCGGCGCCGCCGGCGCCCAGCTCCCCGTCAGCGCCAGGGACCTCGGTGCGTGGCCCGCCCCGCCCCCGCCGCGCCGCACCGTACCGCCCTCTCCCGCCACCGCGACCTGACCCTCCCTCCCCACTGCCCCTGCAGCCCGGGGACCAGCGGCTGGCACACAGCGCCGAGATGTACCACTACCAGCACCAGAGGCAGCAGATGCGGTGCCTGGAGCGGTGAGAGGCCCTGCCCCGGGCAGGCCTACCTGCCCCAGAGCCCCCGCCCCCCGGCGGCCCACCCACCGCGGGCCCCCCGCCACCCCCACCCCAGAGCTTACCGCCCCAACCCCGGGCTGGGGCCGAGGTGCGCTGGGCGCCCACTTGGAGTCTGGGCCCCTGGCACCTGGAGGGTGTGGGAGGACGCAGCGATCCCGCCCCCCGCCCAGGCATAAAGAGCCGCCCAAGGAGGTGGACTTGGCCTCGTCGGACGAGGAGGACGAAGATGGCGACTTCACGGTGTACGAGTGCCCGGGCCTGGCCCCGGTGAGTGCCCCGGGGTAGGGGGCTTACCAGCTCCTGGGGATCCCTCCCGGGAGGGTGCCCCTTTGCCGCTGCGCCGCGCGCCCCTCCCTCCCCCCGGGCCCGCATAACGCCCGCCTTCACAGACCGGAGAGATGGAGGTGCGGAACCCGCTGTTCAACCACTCCTCCCTGTCGGCGCCCCCGCCCTCGCTGTCTGAGCCCCCGCCGCAGTGACCCGAAGGCTGGCACCCACCCTCTTGGACCACGGGGCCCACCGGTGGGGAGGGGCAGGGCCCGGCGTTTACCATTAAAGAGAGCGCGTTCTGACACTCGCGTGCTTGTGGCTGGGCCCGGGGCCCTTGCTGGGGAGACCTCCCCCTTCCTGTCCCGCGCGGGGACCTTCTGTCTCCCTTGCACCAGTCCTTTGAGTCCAGGTCCCCAAGTGAGGGCGTGGGGGAACCTGAGAGACCAGGCATGGATGGTGAAGCCTGGAGACAAGCCAATTCAAGTGTGTTTCAAACCCCCGCGGTGGTGCTGGAGGCTGCCCCCCACCACTACCACTTGGAGCCATGATGAATAGATTCCTGAGTGAGGGCCTGGGGTTTCCTCCCAACACCCCCGAGAGAGGTGGCATTTCTGTCCCCTGCTTGAGGAGACCTCCCCCTACCGCCGCTGGGGAAGAGAGGCTTGAGTTATCACAGACACAGAGGACCTCCCTCTCCAGACCTCACCCCACACACTTCTGTCCCCCGTGGGGGAGGGGAGGGGTGCAGTGCCTGCCCAGGCCCCTGTGGAGTTGGTGCCGCTCCCTGAAAGACCCCATCCCAAGGCTAAGAAAAAGGGCTGGGGAGCAGGCAACCGCCGACACGCGGCAGTGGGCACCCAACGCCTCCATTCCTGCCCATTGTCCACCTGGGCTGCAACGTTGGGAGGAACAGGATGCAGGCCCTGCGCGTGGGTTACAGAGACCACACAGTTCCCTGGGCCCCTGAAACACATATGTGGGAGCAGGGGTGGGCATGCCAGGCAGAGGAGCCTGAGGGACACAGGCTACACACAGGTGGGTAGACCCAGGGGGCCCGGTGCGGGCAGAGGTGGTAGGGACCCTGCATGTTATGAGCTGGGTCTTGGCCCACCCCCAGGGAGCAAGGAGGCAGGGGGAGGGGGAGGTTGACCTTCAGCTGAAGGCCCAAAGCAGCCGCCCTGCATTGTCACAGGCGCCAAGACTGGGCCGGGGAGAGGGGTTTCTGGGGCTCGGAGCAGTGGGGCCTGGTGCAGACGGGGGTGGAGGAATCGGCCCTGCCTGCCCCACTGAGGCTGGGGAGGGGGAAAGGGTTGGGTTTAGAAGCTCCTTGGTGGTTTCTGAGGTTGGGGGTTCTAAAGAATACTGGACTTCTGGCTCCTGGATGGATGGAGACAGCCCTGAGAGGGGAAGACAAGGCCTGTTTGGAACGGATGGGTCCCTGAAGAGACGCGGGTGGGCGGGGCTGGGGGTGACGGCATTGCCCTGCTTGGAGTTAATGGCTTGTCCTAAAGCAGTATGTTCCTGGGGCTAGAGCTCACCCAGGCTGGGAAGTCCCTCCCCCCAACTCCTGTGCTGTGGCCTTGGGCTGGCCATCAGCTGGCAGCCTCAGTTTCCCTTCTGTGCGCTGATGTGAGAGACAGAAGAGGCGGGTGCAGGGAGCTGGGTGCCTGTGGGATGAGGGCAGGGTGATGAGGATTGCCTGTCCACTGTCATTTAATCTGTCATTAGGGGAGAGAGCCACAGAGAAAACGGGAGTAGAGAGATTAAGGCCTAACTCAAGGGCAGAGGCGGTCTGGTGCAGGCCAGTCTGTCTCGCTGGCTGGACCCTGCAGACCCAGTGCCAGGAGGCTCCCATGGAGCTCTGGGGGCCATTCCTGGGGCCACCACACTTGCCTGTCCCACCTCTTGCTGGCCTGACCTGGGCAGAGAGCAGCCACGTGGTGTGCCCTATCTTCTCTCGGGGGTCCCCAACCTGTCTCCAGGGTCCCCACTGCCCATTCCCCAGGGCCCCGGTGAGAAGGGTCCCCTTCCAGTGGCAGCTGCAATGAGATAGGGGCCGGCAGGTCTGGGCCAGGGAAGGGTGGGCAGGCGGCTGGAGTCCTCCAGGCAATGGGGCCTCCCTTGGCCCACTTACCTGGCAGGGGACCCTGAGCAGTGAGCACTCCACTCCCCACCTGCCTTTTATAGCTTCTGTTGGCCCCAGTCTAGCTCAGACAGAGCCAGCCCCTGCTTTTGTCCAAACTCCTACAACCACTCTTCGCCCATAGGCCCTGGGGGTGCAGTGGGCTGCCCAGGGCTTAGGGCCCACAGAGGGCCTGGCTCCACAGGGACTCTGGAGACCCCAGTCCTGGGCGAGGGGCCCATTACTCTCCTCTGCTCCCCTGCAGCCTCAGAGCCCCAGGCAGCTGCCCCTGTCCCCACTCCAGGGCCCTGCCCATGAGCACCTTTCCTGGTGTAAAAGGCTGGTCTTGCCTCTGCCCTCTGGCCAGACCCCCCCAGAGCCCCAAGCCCAGCTGTGCTTCAGCTCCTTAGCAAGCTTCCCCAGCCTGGTGTCCTCCCCAAGCATAGGTGACAGATGGTGACACCCCCACACCCCAGCACGGACCCTGAGGTGACACCTCGCTGTTTGGAGATGCCCCCACCCCAGCCAGACCGTGGGGTAAGACCACACTTGGCACAGAACGTGGAGTGGTGTGGTCCCCTAGCCGAGACCCTATAAGGGGGAACCTCCCCAGCTGCAGACCCCAAGAGATAACGTCCTCCCACTCAGTTCAGACCCACGCCTCCTGTCAGCACGGGTGGCTGGCTGGGCTGGTCCAGATTCCCAGTCCCCCAGCTGAACCCCCGGCCCAGGTGCACAGCTCAGAGGAGCAGGTCTCGGAACAGAACAGAAAGGGATGAGCCAAACGGGTGCAGTGCACAGCTTCCTGGCGGAGCCCTGGCAGATCCTGGAGCTCTTCCTGGACAAGAAGGTGGTTCCCCCCAGAAGGTGGGAAGGGAAGGAGTAGAGGGAGAGGGGCTGGCCAGCGCTGGACTGCACCTGTGCCCTCTAGGTGGTCCAGGGCCCCTCCTGCCGCTGCTGCATCCAGCTCCCGGCTTCCACTCCACCTGCCTCGGCTGTGCCCCCAACCTGGGGACCCCCTTGGCCACCTGCCAGCCTCTGTGCACCCACCTTCCCAAAGGGGTTCCCTGACCCCCCCCCCCCCTTGAGAATAAAGTGTGCCCTGGCTCCCCTCTGCTGCCTTCACTGACTCGGAGCCAGGTGGCTTTGGAGCACGGCCACCAGGGGGCCTGCTGGGCACGTGTCTCAACTCTCCCCTGCTCAGGCCAAGCCTTGGGGCGGGCAGGTGGGCAGCTAGGCTCTGCCCTTCTCTCCTTGGGGTGTCCCTCAGGCTGGAGCTGGATGACTCCCCTGCTGCCCTGGCTGTTGTCTGCCAGGCCTGCCCTCTGGCAGGGGCACGGCTCCCCAGGTTGCAGCTTCTTCAGTTGGTGCCCACCGAGGGGTTGGCCTTGGAGCAGGCCTGGGGCTCAGCTGCGGGAGTGACAGTGTGCGCCTGGTTCCTAGGGCTGTTGAGCTGGAGTTGGGTGCCCGCCGGCGGCCCAGCGAGTCACAAGGCCTGGGGGGAGTCAGCAGGATGAGGCCCCGCTTTCTCTTTGACTCATGCTCTCTCACCTTCTTCTCTTTCCTCTGAGAGCCTCTCGTTCTGACCCATTTCTCGGCCAAACCTCGGAGTCCCATTTCCCAGCCGGCAGGTTCCCACGACAGGGGCCCGGTGGCTGCCAACCTGAGCTGGCAGCTGTGATGGGGAGCAGCCAACCGAGGGCAGAGGGTGTGAGAGGCTCCTTCGAAGGAAGGGAGCAGGTCCCGGGGATGGGCGAGGCCTGTGGTGAGGGCCCCGGCCAGCCTGGCAGTGCAAACAGGAAGGGCAGAGGTGCTGGCAGACAGAAGCCAGGTCGCTAGCAGGCTGTGGCACGATCACTCCTTCCTGCGTGACCCCCACCGCCCACGGGGTGCCTGTCGTGAGGAGAAGGGTGGACTGAAGCGAGGTCCAAAGCCAGGGTGTGGCTCCTCTGGGGTGCCCCTGCCCAGGAAGAAATGCTGGGGTGGAACCAAAGGCCCAGTGCCACCGTGGTCATTTCCCTAAACACTGGGGCAGCTGGAAGGGCGGGGGCTGGTGGCAGCCACCGGCTCTGGTCAGGCCCTGAGGAGCCAAGCCTGGCTGCTGCACCCACCTTGGACCCGCCAGATGGTTTCCGACAGATCCCACAGCCCTCCCTCCCCTTCCTTGATATTGCACAAGGCCCCACCGCAGCTCGGAGGTTATGCAGGGGGTGAGGAGCCCCAGAGGGGCCAAACGGCCCCCCTCTCCTGGACTTGCCTCTGCTCCCCCATGGGTCTGCTGCCAGCTCCCTGGTTTCACCTCGATGGCAGTCTGGTTCTCACTGGGGGCAAGAGCTGGGGGAGGCCAGCAGCCCTGGGAGCTGAGAACGTAGGCCAGGGATGGTGGGGCCGTGGGAGGCCCTCAGGATGGTGCAGGGCGACAGACCCAGCAACGGTTGCTGGTTGCTGTTCCTTCCATGACACCCTGTTCATGGCCTCCAAGAACCTGGCCAGCCCGAGGCCTCCAGGATGCTAAGCATGAGGCCTGGGCCTTGCCGTGCAACATCCAGGACCAAGCCAGGGTCCAGCTGGGGTGAAGGAAGCTGATGGGGAACTCCTTCGAGTGAGAGTGGGTTGAGGGCTGGAGGTCAGGGAAGTCTGACCTGCTGGCTTGCTGCATCAGGGGAACCAGAGCGAAAGGGGAAGGAACTGGACCTCCAGGCCAGGGCCCCCAGGCTGGCCGGAGGGCGGGGAGGAGAGGGACTCGGACATCAGCCTTCCTTTTCCTGGAGCGGGGGCCAGCCCCCTGCCCGCCCGCGTCAGGGACACGACGACTGCTTCCCTTTCCAGCCTGGAAAGCCCCCTCCTTACCCCACCCCCATCCTGGACTGTGGGGCTGGAGAAAGAGACCTGGAGCCCCCAAAGGCAGCCCTCCCACCCCACATTCCTGCTGCCTGGCCAGGACCCTGGGCCCACCCACAGCTTGGGGCTTATACGACACATGTCCTTAGACCGGGAGAGAAGGCGCAGTGGCCATACAGTCCACCCCGGGGGTCTGCCCATTGTGGGCATGTGCCAGGGTCTCGTGTGGGCAGACTCTCCTAGGACCCCAGACTGACTCCCCTCTCTGGGAATCTGGGTTCTGGGATAAGGTGTCCTAGAGGCAGTAGGGGTGGGGTGGGGTGGGGTGGGTGGCAGGGGTAGGGTGGGGTGGGGTGGCCCAATCAGAAGCAATGGGAGAAACCTCAGCCTCCTGGCAAGCAGCTGAGCACAGCAGGTCTGCGGCGCAAGGGTCTGGGAGCCCACAGCGGAGCGAAGCAGAGGTGAGCAGGGGAAGTGAGAGATGCCACGGTGGCAGGGGGTGGCGCTAGCCCGGATGGCGGACAGTGACTCTGGGGTGCCCTTCCGGGGAGGCAGCTGTCTTGGCTCAGGATGGTCTCCCCTTCCCTGAGGCCGAGCAGGCCCCCTCCTGCTCCTGCCTCCTGTGCTTGCGAAGAAGGTCATCTCCAGGGCTCTCCAGAGGCCGGCCGGGGTGGGGAGGTGGTCCTGGGCCCTGGTTTGGCGCCCCTCCTATAACCGGAGGACTCCTGCAGCCAGAGGACTAGAGAGGGAGGCGAGGTGAGGATGGTGGTTGATGCCAAAGGTCACCTCCAGGGCGGGGGCAGGGGCGGGGCAGGAGCGGGAGGGTACCTTGGTTTCCCTCATCTCAGGCAGATGAAAGCAGAGCACTTCCAGGTGGGGTGAGCGCGGGGCGCCGCTGTGATTTAGGGTGGCTCTGCCCAGCGGCTGCTGTGATTTGAGAACCTGGGGTTTCTTGGGTGACAGATTCCGGGAGCTGTGGATGAATAATGCTGGTGAGCGTCTGGTCTTCAGGGAAGCCCCGGCTGGGAAGATGGGGCCGGTGGTGGAACCCCAGGAGACAGCATCTCTTTGCAGGGCACGGCCCTGCTCGGAGGCTTCGGGCCTTGGGGAGCCTGGCGGGGACGGCCCTGCTTGCAGCCCTCTGGCTCCTGTGGCTACTCTGGTCCACCCCTGGGGAAGCCCCGGCACCGCAGCCCACGCTCACCATCCTCATCTGGCACTGGCCCTTCACCAACCGGCCCCCAGAGCTGCCCAGCAACACCTGTACCAGCTACGGCGTGGCCCACTGCCGCCTGAGCACCAACCGCAGCCTGCTGGCCACCGCTGACGCCGTGGTCTTCCACCACCGCGAGCTGCAGACCCGGCGGGTCCACCTGCCCCTGGCCGAGCGTCCACGTGGACAGCCCTGGGTGTGGGCCTCCATGGAGTCTCCCAGCCATACCCACGGCCTCAGTCGCCTCCGCGGCGTCTTCAACTGGGTGCTGAGTTACCGGCGGGACTCGGACATCTTTGTGCCCTATGGCCGCCTGGAGCCCCGAGAGGGCCCTGCCCCACCGCTGCCAGCCAAGGACAGGGTGGCTGCCTGGGTGGTAAGCAACTTCCATGAGCGGCAGCGGCGTGTGCAGCTGTACCGCCAGCTGGCACCTCATCTGCGGGTGGACGTGTTTGGCCGCGCCACCAGGCGGCCGCTGTGCACCAACTGCCTGCTGCCCACTGTGGCCCGGTACCTCTTCTACCTGTCCTTCGAGAACTCCCAGCACCGAGACTACATCACCGAGAAGTTCTGGCGCAATGCGCTGGCGGCCGGTGCCTTGCCAGTGGTGCTGGGGCCCCCGAGGGCCTCCTACGAGGCCTTTGTGCCACCTGATGCCTTCGTGCACGTGGACGATTTCGGCTCGGCCCGCGAGCTGGCTGCCTTCCTCGCCGGCATGAATGAGAGCTGCTATCGGCGCTTCTTTGCCTGGCGAGACCGGCTCCGTGTGCGGCTGTTCAGCGACTGGCGGGAGCGCTTCTGTGCCATCTGTGGCCGCTACCCCCATCTGCCCCGTGACCAGGTCTACCAGGACCTCAAGGGCTGGTTCCAGGCCTGAGCGGAGGGCAGCTGGGGGGGAAGGTGGCTGGGAGCTGGCAGTGTGGGTGTAAGGCTGGGTGTTGAAATCAAACCACCGGGCATCCGGCCCCCACAGCAACCATCAGGCTAATTTGGAGGCTGGGGTTGGAGGCCTGGAAGCAAGGGTGAGGGAAGAGTGGGCGGTCTGGGCAGGCTGCCTGGAGGAGGAGGCTGGTGGCATTGGAGGAGGCATTTGGGGGTGGAGGTGAGAGCAGGGAGAGAGTAATGGGGGTGCATGTTGCTAGCCGATCAAAGATAAGAGGCTATTGAGGACCTCCCTCCCCAGCTTGGTCAAATCTTGGGGGGGAGTCCAAGGCTTTCTCTGGATGTGGGGCTGAGAGGCTGGAGGCAGGGCCCTTGGTGCCAAGAACATGCCACCCTGCGGTTGGTGGGGGCAAAACCTGAGCCCCCCGAACCTCCTCTGTAACCGAGGTCCCCTGACCAGGACGCACAACCAGGTCGCCCTGCTCCATCCACAGTGCTGGAGCCCCTGCGTGCAGACTGGTGCGGGGCCCTGGGAGACTGTGACGGGCCAGCCAGGTTATTCGGCTTTTTGCAGCCTGCAGTCCACTCGGGGAGGAGGCCTCAGTCAATAAAGAAACGAAGGATGAGAACGGCACGTGCCAAGTCTGATGGTGCAGGGCCCCACATATCTGCCCTCCCCCTGCCATCCCGGCCACACAGGCCTCCTTGTCCTGACGGGACCGCCCACTCCACCTCAAGGCCTTGGCGCTCCCTCTGCCGGAGACGTCCCCCTCTGCACCGCTCTGCCCGCTCCCTGGGGCTTCCTTCAGTGCCTGCTAAATGGCACCACATCTCTGACCCCCAAAAGGCCAAGGTAGGTGGAGAGCAGGGGGCGAAGTCAGAAACCCGGCTGGGGGATCGCAGATACCCCATCTTGGAGGCCCTGGGGTTTCGTTCTCAGGCTGCAGGGATGTCCCAGGTGTGACAGGATCTGGTTTGTGACTGGGGTTCCCCCTGGCTGCTGGCTGGTGGCGCGTGGGCAGCGGGAAGCATGGAGATTTCTGCTGCAGCCAGGGGAGCCCCTCGTGGGGGGCCGTGGGGGGGGGCGGAGAAAAGAGACTGGCGGTGAGTCTCTGGGTAGCACTGACAGGGGCCCTAATAGGCCACGCCCTTGGGGCAGGGGCACCGACTTGTCCTGCCCCCGGGTGGGGGTGGGCAGCAGGTAGAGGCAGGAAGCTGCCCTCCCCCTTGGCAGTGGCTCATGGGAAAGACCTGCCAGTGACTTCCTGCCCTGACCTAGCCACATGTGCTGACCGGGGAGAAGGAAGTGACCTGAGGCTGAGGGGTGGGGGGTTGGGGAGGGGGTGGAGTGGGATGGTGCCCTGCCCACCTGCCAGGGCTGTCCCTCCTCCCACTGCCAAGGAGCTGGGAGGGGGTGGGGAGCTGCGGCCCCCAGGTCCACCATTCAGGTTAGGGTGTGCCCTCTATGTGCACCGGACACTGTACATCAGGAGGCCCACCTCTCCCATTCACAAGTGGGGAAACTGAGGCTGGGGAGGAGCCATCGGAGCCACCCACTTGGCCTCCCCTCCCTGCAGGTGCCAGCTTGCCCTCCGCTGCCCTCTGCTGGCCACCCCAGGAATCTACCCTGCCACCTCCCCACCCGGCTCAGGCCGTGCCTGGGTCTGTCCAGCCGCAGCCTCGCTCCAGCAGGCACCAAACCACTTTGCGGAATTCACTCAAACCCAAACTCCCTGTGCAGAGGCCAGACGCGCCCTCTGATGTGGGGAGAAAAACGAGCCACTCACAGAGGGGGCAGCCTCAGTCTCCCCAAGCACCCGGCCTACCCTGTCTGCAGGGGCCAGTTCCCACACAGCGGGTTCCTTCCTCCTAATGCCCAGAGAGCTGCAGCCCCCGCAGAGCCCAGCCAGGCCCATCCCCCCACTTGGTCACCAAGTGGCTCATGGCTCATTCACAAGGGACACAGGAAACTCTCACAGGAGTGGGACAGCCCATCTGCAGCCCCTCTCACGAGCCCCCTGGTTAAGGGGAGTGGGTTAGGAAGCGCCGGGTTGGGAGGGAACGTTCACTCTGGAAGGCTTGAGGGCAGTGCCCGCCCTGCACAGGTTCGGGATCTCCAGCCAGGGGCTGAGCTCTTCCCTCCCCAAGTGTGGGCGGCTGCCCCCTCCAGCCCGGCAGTGCCCCTGGGGACTGGGACCTGGCTCTTACGCCCAGATGAAATTCCTGCCATCAGCACTTCCGTGAGGACGGTGGGTGGAGATGGTGACCTGGTGGGGGTCGAGCCTCTCCCAGCATTCCCCTCAGGGCACCGTCGGAGCCGGTGACCACCTTGGGGGCCTCTGCGGGAGGATACCAACGGGGAGGGGGAGTGCTGCGCACAGGCCTGGTGCCCCTGGGAAAGGAGGGCCCTGGAAGAGGGTGAGTCGGGGGTCTCGGTTTAGATGCGGGCTCTGGGCACGTCACTTCCACGCCTGGCGAGATGGGGGCGACAAGGAAGCCCCTGGTGGCGGGGTCGAGCTCCAGGAGCGGCCGGGGCGGATCCCGGGCGGGGGTCAGGGCGGCGGGCGCCCCCTGGCGGGCGCGGCGGGCACAGTGCGGCGCC